CAAATCTCTTGGTACAACATTTATTGCGATATTTTGGAGTGGCAAATATAATTCTAACTAGGACACTTTCATGCTTTTAAAATAGTTTTGGTAAAAAAAAAAAATGTTGTATGTGCTGAAATGAATCATGGGATATGTAGTTTCCTATGTTTATTAGATGTTCCTACCAAAAAACATGCATTTAAGCAACTGAACTTATAATTCGATATATTGTGACACCTCTCGATGTTATTGTGAAACTTCTGGCGATAAGATATCACAATATTTTGGTTATTGTTACATCCATAGCAATGAATAAATGCTAGATAGATGTGTTTAATGTTACACCATGGAATTTTCCAGGGAAAGCAATAACATCTCCAAGTAGACGAGCAAGACTTTCCAGCAGAAAAGTTGCAGTGCACATGCCTACAAAATTAGAATATCTAACCTATAATCAAATGAACATAACCCAAACTGGAAGCGAAGTTGTCAAAATGCACCAGCTATAACTTCCTCGCAACACCAACAACACAATTGAGCTCGTAATCTGACCACCTCACCTCACTTTCCACATTGTAAACTCCATTCTTAACCATTCTTCCCAAAGTGGCAATTTACAAACCTATCCCTGGGCCCTCTGACACACTTGTATAGTCTTTGGAATGAGACATCAAACCCGCGCTGCTTCCTGTTGTCACTGTAATATAATGAGCGGTTTGGGCCTGACGCCGTGGTAATAGTGGCGTGCCCGTGACAGAAGGGGCTTCCTCATCCCCCTCTAATAACAGCATGCACAGATCCCATACAGCTGGGACAGACCTTAGCATTTGCATTTAATAACTGTATTGCAATAATGATATGTGAACGGCAGCCTGTAATCAGAGGGCAGATTGGTGGGGCATGTGTTAAAGTGATTTGTGTTTTATTAGATTCAGGCCTGAATATGTACAACGACAATTTACAGCTGTTGGTGTCAGATGAAGTATAAAGGTTGAAAATAATAACAACAATGTGTGTATTCTGTGTTGTATCTAGGAAATTGCATGTAAAACTATCATTTGCATAATTTACCATACACAGAGGAACACTTTTGATACTATAGTGTTTTTGTTCAGTGTCCTTTAGAGGAAACAAAGATTGGCTGGTTAACAATGGGATGCTTCGACTTTGGTACATTTTTAGACAATAGTTTAGTAATTTTGTGCATTTTTAAAAGGTATAATTAATTTGCAAATTATTGTAACATTTATATAGTAATTTTCATTCAAAAGATTCACGCCTTTGCACACATTTGTACACGTCTTACATACATTTCTTCCTATGACCTCTTGTATATAGCTGAGATGTTTTATATTAATCATAATAATAATAATTAAAAAAAAATCTTTATTTATTAAGCACTTTTAAAAACAGCTTTTACAAAGTGCTGTACAACCAGCAAAGAACAATACAAAAAGAATAAAAACAGCATGCAGAAGGCACACAAAAACAGACAATGATGCAAGCAATCCAATAAATTATTTTAAAAAATAATAAAAAGTAATAGAATAAAAATAAATAAGCGATAAAATCAAGCTAAGACCCATTAAAGGAAGGCCAACTGATAAAAATGAGTCTTAAGAAGTGATTTAAAAGATGATACTGATATTGCGAGCCTTATCTCCTCAGGCAGGTCGTTCCAAAGCCGAGGCGTTTGGATTGAAAAGGCTCGATCAGCCTTCGTCCAGAGTCTGGTGATGCGTCTGTATGGAGTCCTGCGATATCCGAACAAACTATCGGGGACTTTATACTCGATTATTAACCAAAATTGCCCTGAAATCTTGATGTTGCTCAGGCTAGTCCTTTTTCCTTTTTCTAGTCTTTTTTTTTCATGATGAGATGTATGACAGAATTGCTAGAGTGGAGCTATGTGGAGCTCTGCACACGAGAAAGTAGCCTCATTTTCAGTGAGCTGTTGTATACCTGTAAATGAGTTGAATCACATTGAAACATCCATAAATGAATAGTTCAGAGTCTAAGGTTTCCAGAGATACCGAATATGTCTGTGTTTCAATAAAGTTCATGAGTGGAAGTCCGTTTTCTTGTATGCAATTATGCTCTGTGGGTAGCCCTAGTAATATATGTATGGGTTGTTCCTTGAAGGCGTCCAAGGAGGAAAGAGTTAAATGTCCAAAAAGTGCTGCTGACTCTTTCTCAAATACTTGTTAACTTTTTTGGTTTAGTAATTTTATCAATGCAACTAAAAGACATACACAAACAACATCCAGATTGCTGCTTAATACTATTCAGAGCTGTGGAAATATTTTGTCAGTGATTCTAAACTACTCCTATAGGTGTTAAAATCTGCACTGTACAGTCACGCGCCCTGCACACGCCCAGAGCACATGCTGCACATAGAGATTCGCAATTAGACACACACAATCACACTTTTGCTCCGTGGCACCCTGCACCCCTGCTGTTGTCATGGCAGCAGTTGGTACGGCAGCGAGAGATTTTAGCGCTGTAATCCCAATGAGCGAGGACGGCTGTGAAATCTGAGGCTGCTTTAGGAGAGAGGGAAAAAACCAGCACCAAAATAATAGCTTTAGCTTGCCATACAATCACCATAAGCTGGCCATTTGGGAGTCTTAAGCAAATTGTACAGTAAGAGTGGCGCTGATTGCAAGGTTGAGGTGGCGTTTTGCAGTAATTTTACGCAGGAAGTAGTTGCCATCTTCTCAGACTGCAGAAAATTCTGAAAGTAGCTTGTGTTAGCAGGCAGTTTCACAAAGCATATTTCACAAAGACTGAGTTCATATTCATATTTCTATTACGCTATTCTGAAAACAATTAGCCTTATTATACTGCCCATGTTACACCGTTTTTTTGACTTGTATTATAATGTTTCCTCATCAGAAACCTGGAGTTGTGTTTTGTCTCATTCACACATGTTAAACACACTCCGTTCCACCTTGTGATGTCATTAGTATTAAACGCCATACAGCTTCATTAGAATCGTTTGGATAATCTTAGCCCTGGAACTGCCATTGTCTACTGAAATGAAGATAAAAGACATTTGAAAACTACTACTTCACGATATCACAAGGTGGAACAGAGCATTTTCAGTTCTAGAGATGTAAACAGACTAGGCAAGGCAAGTTTATTTGTATAGCACAATTCGTACACAAAGTAATTCAAAGTGCTTTACAGAATAAGAAATACATTAAAATCACAATACAAACTAATCAAAACATAAATAATCATAACATTAAAAGGAGAAAGAGACTAAGAGATTAAACTAGACAGACGACTGCGGAATGAAAAATGAAAACAGCTAAACAGAAACATTTTGAGCCTGGATTTAAACAGTGTCAAAGTAGAGGTCTGTCTCACACCTTGAGGAAGACTGTTCCAGGTTTTAGCTGCATGAATGTGAAACTCTGACTCCCTGTGTTTAGTCCTGACTCTGGGCACCAGCAGGAGGCCGGCCCCTGAGGTCCTCAGAGTGCGAGATGGTTCATATGGCACTAACATGTCACAGATGTACTTTGGTCCTCGGCCATAGGGAAACTTGTACACAAGCAGAGCCACTTTAATGTCTATTCTGTGAGCCACAGGAAGCCAGTGCAGAGACTTATGTGCTCGTACTTCCTAGTTTGACTAAGATAAACTATTATTGAAACATGGGTAAATGAAACAAAACACAACTCCAGGTATCTTTTTGAGGGGACATTCTACGGCTTAAAGCTCTGAAGAGTCAATTTTGTGTAATATAAGACCTTTAACAAGAATCTATTCATGGGTTTAGGCTTTCTGTTAAGTGGTGCCATTTTGGGGGCAGTTGACTAATTCAAAAGATCTTTTTCAGTCACAAAATAGGCCCTACATAATGGTTGCATAACTTGAATTATTTGAATTGTTCAGAAAAGCATTATTCTGCCAATATACTGTATTTGCTTTTTTCACCAAAGCCGGATTACGCCCATGATCGTTCTGTTGGCACATCCAGTTGTGTACCAATAGACTAAATACAAAACATGAAGATTAAACGATTATGTAGAATTCATTCATTTATCTTCAACTACTCCAGCAAGATTAATCGCAGTTGAATCGAAACCCCAATTTGGATGAACGTAATTAGCAAATCACAAAGGCTACAGCTTTTGAAGTACCATAACTTTCTTCAAAAACAACAAAATATCCTGTTTTATTCTGCATAAAAACTGCTAATCCTGTATCTGTACAAATAAAGCTGGAATCCATGTGATATTTGTACTAGTTTCTCAATTTTTATTTCAGTCTCCTCTTATAATGTACGCTAAAATGTGAACTTTGAGCAATATTCTGTTTTTAAAAACATAAATTGCAAATGTAAAGCTTTTCAGAAAAATCACTTTTCAATATTTTTCTCAAATCGTTCTGCTCTATAGTAAACCACAACATCTATGAGCTTTATCCTACTTCGAAATGGACGGATGCTACTGTGTTTTCTTAAATGTTTTCCATCTTGTGTCTGTATTTAGCATGCAGTGACAGTTCTTGCATTTGATTATCCGGTGCAATACGTCATTCTCCACAATAAACTTCAGTTCCGCATCTATTTTCGCAAGTTAATCAATGGTCCATTTATCCAGGCAACTATTTGTTAGTCAGTCAATACAAAACGCTTATCTCATATTGAACACGCAATTTCCAGCTCCTGTATTACTGCATTCATCCGTCGCTTATCTCCATACCTCATTCTGGGCCTGTGTTTTTCTCACATCTACCTTTTTGTATCAAGAGCACCCTTTGACGTAGGTGTACAGCCCACACGTGTCTATTTTTACGCAGGAGAGGAGGAGAGAGGCAGGGAGGGGTGTGGGAGAGGAGTGAAAGCAGGAGAGAGAGCGGAAGGGAGGGCTCGGCGGATGGGACTGGCGCTACTGCTGACTGTTTAGTTCCGAGAGAGTTGCTTGAAAGATAGATAGAGAGGAAGCTAGCTCGTACGTACTCGGATGCAAATATGGTAAACATGACCGGCTTTTTGTACCCCGCAGGTGGACTACATGGACGAAAATGAGGAGTACTTCCAGCGGCAAGCTTCGCACAGACAATCACGCCGGCGTTTCCGGAAGATCAACCAAAAGGGCGAGAGGCAAACCATCATTGACACCGTGGATCCCTATCCCACCGGCAAGCCCCCCATAGGACGAGTGTACCACACGGTGAGTTTGGGAATGTCAAAAGTCCTTACCTGAGTTACAGTGCGAATGTCGATGCGGTTTGCTTTAAAATACAGCTTCTTTCATTGTTGTTGTGAACTTTGGAGTCTGTTCCTTTCCCTTTCCTCTTCACATTCACAAAACTTGTATAGTGTCATTGGCTGTACCATTTCTAGTGTTTCTAGAGGCATTTGTTGCCACGTAGTCTAATTCACCTGGTCGTACTCTTAAAATTAACCTTATTTTGCATATGTTTTGTTCTCTTATTGCTTGAATGAGTCACATTTGCTATTGGGTTGCAAAAAGAGAATTATGTTTGTTGTTTACACTATGAATATTGTGTCAACTTAGCTCACTGGGCTTGTTGTCAGAGCTACCATTTTATAGATTTGCCAATAAAAGGGACAACTATCCCACTAGCAAGACACCGATACAGGTGTACCGCACAGAATTATTTCGGTGTGGATGACAATGCATTGCTCTGTACTCCAGTTTGCTGCTTCTTTCATCATTGTTGAGAACTTTCCAGCAGTCTCTGTCCCCTGTACACTTGCTATAATAGGCTTGTCTCTGGAGTTCCTGTGTTGTGATGTTTTCCTAGAAAGAAAAACTAGCCTATTCCCCATTGGTTGCCGTTCAGATTTGTTTTCATGAATCTGTTCCCCCACCTTTGAGCAATGCTTCCTGTTATTTGTGTACTGCTGTCATTCTGTTCGTCTTGACTTTTGTGACTGGTTATGGGTTGTTTAGTGTGCAGTGTTTCAAAAGGCATGCGTTGATTAAACCCTAACAGGCCACCGGGGGTCCACCCTATGTTCCCTCAGCCCACTGATTTTTAGTCAAATCAAATCAAGTCATTTTTATTTTTATACCGCATTTAAAGGGATGATTCAGAGTCATTTCAACCTAGAGTCCATTGCACCATGACCTCTTCATTACATCTGTAGTCAAATGCTGCTGGATCATAGGTTTTAGTTTAGTTTATTATAATGAGACGGGGACAGTGCACAATATACATTAACCTTCACAGGAGAGATGCATCGTACCAGATTATAGCACCAGTCCACCTGTAGTCCCTGGGCAGGTTAATTAATTGATTGCATTTACCTATGTAGAACGTTTTGGGTTGGGCGTAATTGGGAGAAATGGGGATAAATTCTGATGCAAATTAATTATTGATGAGGAAATGTGGGAACATAGGGCCTATTTTGGGGAAAAAACTAAACAAAACTTAAAAATGAGGGAACATATGACTGAGGGAACATAGGCATGCTCCGGGCCCCTGTAGTCTGAGGTCTTAAGTGAATCTAATCATGTTTATGATTGAATATTATAATTTAAATGGGTTTGTGTGGTCTTCTTTTGCTGCTTGATACATTGACAGACTGTGGTGGGCGCTGCCATAGTCTAATACCTGGCAAGACACATACATAAGAAATATAAACGAATGTATGTTTTTTCTACTCCTGTGCTTTCATATGTTGTGCTTATGTTATTCTGACTTTTTGACTGCTGATTTCCCTTACTATTTCCCTTACTATTAGCATGCAGTATGTAGTTTAATTGACTAAAACCTGGCAGGTCTCTATAGTCTTATTTACCTGACTTACATAAATCAAATCAAAGTGAATCCAGTTTGAATATTGCAGAATGCATGTTTGAATAGCTGTGCATGTAGTTCAAAATGATATCAATTTCACTGCCAAACTATGACGGACACTGGCATAGTGTAAAATGTCCTACCAGAGTCTCAAAGGGAACCAAATATATTATAAAACTACACAGCACCAGATTTTGAAGTTGTTGTTTCTTTTATGTTGTGTTAGACTGTATTCATTCACAACAATCCCAAATTCTTGCATTTATCGACTGCTAGTCTACCATAGTCTAATTTACACCCTCAAGACTTGATAATTGCACTGCCACACTGCACTTCATTAAGCTATATACACTTTACGCTCTAAGCTTTTACTATTCTGGGCTTGCATTCTTGTGTCAAACTGTGTGTTCTTACTCTTTGTGCTGCTTTTATACCTCTGTTTAGAAGTCTGTTCCCTTTCTCTCTTTACTGGGCTCCTCCACGAGCCCCGAGGTGCTGTGTTGTGATGTTTCATGTCCTTGGTAAGCTAGCTTTAGTTCCCCATAGGCTAGCCTCCAAATATGTTTTTAAAAAGCCGTTTCCACCCTTGAGCATTCCTCTCTGTCGTGCAATGTTTTCAACTTCTCTCTTTGCTTGCGTGCTATAACACTGTTTCCTGTTATGCGGCATTGTCTTTTCAGATTTTGGTTTTGCATTGCGACTAAAACGATGCTGTGTTTGTATTTTCAAAACTTGTGTAGCGTCATTTACTGTTGCTGTTCAGTTGCGACAAGAGAATTGCGTGTGTTATTAGCGAATGAATATTGTGTAAATAGCTTAGCACGCACATCCATACGTTTGGAAACATGTCATCAGAGCTATTTGTTGAAGCATTTTATGGATTTGTTTCTCCAGGCCTGCATTGATTAAACCCTGGCAGGTCACGGTAGTCTATTTTACCTGGTCTCACACTTAAGAGAATCAAATTGACTCAGTATTATTACGTAAATGGGTTTGTGTGTACTCCTTTTGTTTGAATGTCTTACTGCTTTATTTGAATAAATTTATTTGGAGGATAAGCCCCTTGAGATGTCTTGCCATCTCGTTTTCGATAAATACAACAGCAAAAGACAGATACAGCAGGGCAGACAGTAGGATACATAATTTTTAAAAAAAAAAGCATCAAAACTACAAAATCAACACAACCACAAACACTCACACACACTCACTCACACTTGAATGTTTGACATATAATAAAACAAGTTCGAGGGGGGAAAAAAAGACTTCAAAGATAATCACAACAAGATGAACAACAAAAATTCAACAAAATGATCAAAAACAATCACATGGGTTCTGTAAATACTGAACCAAAGCATTTTTAAATGAAGGGACTGAAATTAATGCACAAATCGATGAAGGAAGATTGTTTATACACCGACAGACTGTAGCGTGCACTGCCATAGACTAATATCACCTGCCAGACTCTTAAAATAGATCAGTGTTTGTGTTTTGATTACCATTTTAGTGTTGCTGTAGATCTTTTTCACAACGTCCGGAAGTGCCCCGCTGTAGGTTTGCGGAACTTCCGGTTAACGCGTTTCTATGGCAAAATATCTGTGGAAATGTCTCGCGTATTCTCCAACAGCTTCATAAATCTGCCCCATCACCAAATCTTCATCCAACAAGGTCGACAAAGGATAAACATTCACACCTATCAAGGTAAGAAAGACGAAAATTTAAAGGCGAACGACTAGCGTTAGTGAACTTCCGATCGAAACTAGTGTTATGGTATGATAGAGATGTCTCGTGTTAATATTGACATCATGAAATTGATTTTTAATTTTAACTGTAGAATCAGTCTGAATTGCTTATGTTTTATTCATGACCATAACCTCAGTTTTGCTCAGTAGTTCACTAATGTTAGTCGTTGTTTCGCCTTTAAGTTTTTCTTCTTTCTTACCTTGATAGTTGTGGATAAATTCTTCATGGACATAATGTTTATCCTTTGTGGACTTTGTTGGTTGAAGATTTGGTGATGGGGACAGATTTAAGAAGCTGGTGGAGAATACACGAGACATTTCCACAGACATTTTGCCATAGAAAACTGTTAACCCGACGCTATTCAAGTAATCATATTGGGTCAATTAGATTCTCTTATTCTCTACAGCGGGGCACTTCCGACCTTTGTGAAAAAGATCTATTGGGTTGCAAAAAGGAAAATATTTTTTAATGAATGAATAGTATGTAAATATCTTATCATGCAGTTCAATACTTTTGTAACATGTCATCTTAGCTCGTTTTTGACACTAACATTTTACAGTTTCGCCCATAAAACGTTTCAGTATATTTCCTTGACAGTAATGACCAGTCTAGGCATGTACATGTGAAGTTATCACATTGTCTAGAGCTGTACTTTGAAACTTGTGTTTACAGAAACTATAGCCTACGCTTAGGATCGTAAAAGAGCAGAGAAAAACACTAGCTTCATCTGTTTTTAAGAAGCGGAATGGTTTGTGCGGAAAACATAGCACTTGAGACTCCTGAGACTGTTGTTATTTGCAGTGAATTGCATGGTACAAGTCTGGTCCGCTGAGGTCAGACGGCTGCTCTTTTCTCGGCTTCTTCATCGTGTCTTTTTTATATTCTGAGCTATAGCACTAAATTTCAAAGTAGTGTATGGTTGATGTAGCGGAGATAGTCAAGCTGCAGACTACAATTTTGAATGATGTAGATGTTTCTATTCAGTTTGTTTACAGACTGTGCGTACTTGATAAAAAGACACGTGTTATGCTCGTAAACAAGAAAAAATATGTAATCAATTTGGCTTCCACATCAACTTAAAACATCAGGATAACTAACTAGATATTCCTAACCATGGTGAACCAAGAATTTCAGACATTGCCTGAGTGGTAATATTGAAAATTGGGTCAATTTTAGAAGATTTTAGAAGATCAAATTGCTTTTTTTGTGACAAAACCTTGAGTACAATTAGATTTGCAATGTTTTAAAAGCAGGATTCAGATCACACATTATAAACAACTCCATAACTGTTATAATTTGAGACAAGACTGAATAAGAATAAGGGAAGAATAGGCAATAAAAGAAGAATTCCATGTATTTCTGAACATATTTGCAAAGGTCTAAACCATAGGTGGGCAAACTACGGCCCTGGGGCCATATGCGGCCCTTTAATATTTTTAATCTGGCCCGCTGAACTTGAATAATAATAATAATAATAATAATAATAATTTTCAGTGTTTTAAAAGTCATTTCAGTAAATAGTAAATGCCGTGGGACTTGAAAAACAGATATTTTGTTGTAATGATGTTCAATTATGGGATATTTCAATAACATGGGATATCTTTTCTACATATCTCTTGTTATTTTGTTCTCTTATAAAGTGGATTACCAAAAAACTCCATCC